ATAAAATCCTATAAAACCATATTTATTTATGACTAAAAACATTTAATAACAGTTCATTAGTTATCAGCTGCCTGCGGGTTCGGGTCTTACTCGGGTTTCCGGGCGGAGCCGAGCTTCGGATCCACTCGTACGGGTTCCTCCTCTGCGGGGATCTGGGTGACAGCTGGCCGGCCGACGGGTTGAGGGAGGCGGGCAGCAGCGCCGCCGGCTGTCCGGGGAACTCCGAGGGGCTGAGGCTCAGGCCGGGGCCCATCGGGCCGCCGTGCCCGGGGCCCGCGGCGGGGCCTCCCGCCACAGAGTAGTGATGGGAGGACCAGTCGTCCCGGGCCGGCGGGGGCGGCGGGTAGGCCGGGCTCCAGCCCGCCCCGGTCTGCTGCGGGTCKGTGCCGAGGCCCGGGTGATGAGGGTGGTACCCGGGGAAGTCCGAGTACTGCGGAGGTCCCGGTACCGAGAAGTTCTGCGGGCTGAGGCTGAGGCCCGGGTGGCGGGTGACCGGGTTCTGGTGCGGGTACATGGCGGGCTCCTTGTCCAGCTGCAGGTAACTGACGTACATGTTTCCAGGTGAGGCTTCTCCTCCCACAGAACACCGCGGATCCAGCTTCCTGCTGCCGCTCACCTGCTCTGCAGGTAAACTCTGACCGGTACCTGCGCGCGCTTCCACCTGCTGGGCCTCTGTGCGCGCGCCTCGTCAGCGCGAGATAAAACCCGCCGCGGTCACATGATCACCTGATCTCCTCCTCCGTTCAGGTGGAGACCAGACCCCCACTTCACACACACACACACACACACACACACCACCACCACCACCACCACCACCACCACACCCCACGGCTGATACTGAGGTCAGTGCAACAGGTGTGTGTGTGTGTGTGTGTGTGTGTTTTATAACACACGTTCTGATGGTTTGTGTGCTTGTCTCATTTAGCTTTCATAGGATTATTCAGAAACATTTAAATATATAAACAGCAAAAAGCAACACAACAGTCACACTTAAGTGATTAAAACACAAAATCTTGAGTCGGGCATTCATGCTAAACTGATGATTGTGAAATTATATTAATACACCATGATTGATTGTTCAAGTGACAAACTGAATATCTAGATCTGCTGATGTTGCAATGGGTTTAAAAATTTGATGTTTTTTAAAAAGTTGGAAATGTATAATATTCAAGGAATTAAAAAAAAAAACAATGTTAATAAATAAATACTAACATAAAATTGTAAAATATATTACACAACAATGACTTTCTTATCCTGTCAATGTGCCCCAGTGACTGTAATATAACATACCATCATCAGTGTGTGAATGAATAATGTTCAAGTAATAAGATTATTACAGGGAGGCTCCTCTGACTCATCCATCCATCCATCCATCCATCCATCCATCCATCCATCCATCCATCCATCCATCCATCCATCCATCCATCCACTCATCCATCATCCATCCATCCATCCATTCATCCATCATCCATCCATCTACCATCCATCCATCCATCCATCCATCCATCACACATCCATCCATCCATTCATCTATCCATCCATCCATCCATACATCCATACATCCATACATCCATACATCCATCCATCCATACATACATACATCCATACATCCATACATCCATGTTACATCCATGCATCCATCCATCCATCTATCCATCCATTCATCCATCACACATCCATCCATCCATCCTTTCATCTTTCCATTCATCCATCTATCCATCCATCCATCCATCCATCCATCCGTACATGCATCTATGATCCGTCCATCTATGCATCTATCCACCCATCAACTAATCCATCCATCCATCCATCCATCCATCCACCTTTGCTCAACTCATCCAAACACATCTATCCTCCATCAAGTTCTGGGTCTACACTGGACTCTCCTCCCGGTGGGTTCTGCCTGAAAAGTGTCAGCTGACTCCTTTAGAGGCAGAGGAACAGTTGTACTGAAAACTTCCCTTTGATGAAACTCCCAACAGTAACTATGTTTACATGTGCTAAATTCTTTGATCAGATTGAAATGTATTCAGAATAAACAATCAGAATCTATCGTTTGCATGGGCACAACATGAATGAACCACATATGACAAGGTTTACATGCACCAGACTATACTGATGTGTAGAGGTGTGAACATTTCTTAAAAACCATGTATTATGTTCTATATCCATAAATGAGCTGAATCATATCAAAACATTCTCATGTGGTCATTTTTTCTGATTATGTATGGCCATGTGAACATAATGTAGCTACTACGTTCAGCTGCTTGTATGCTGAAATTTGTTCTTTCAGCCATGATCCACATCTCACGACTGTAGGTGAAGGTGGKAGTGTAGATGGACCAGTAAGAGCTTAACCTCTTGTTTTTTTATTCACCACAACAGACTGGACCAATGCCCTCATTACTGCGGACAAGGCCCCAGTCCATCCATCTAGATGTATGTCTGTGTAGATGTAGCTGCAGGTAATGTTGGAAAATAAGGTCTTTAAAAAGTGTGTGGAGCTCTTGTAAAGATGTAACGTTCAACTCTGCATTGTTTGCCAAATATAAGCTAAAATCATCCAGGATCTCTGTGAGACAAAGAACACAGACAGAAACATGCTGTCATAAAGACAAACACTGCAAAACAAAGAGAGCAGGCTGCAATTGTAGAGTGCAGCAATGCTGGCGGACATTGGCATCCTTCAGCTGGCACACCAAGATGCCAAGTTGTAGGATTTACCCTGAAGCCCTTGGGCTATGTTGTGAAAAAACTCAATTGGTTTGAGGGGCCCCATGGCTAGCTGCAGCCGGGGCCCTATTGTCTCAGCTCCTGGAGAGGGGGGGAATTTGGATGAATGCAAGAAAAAACAAGAGGAAGGCAAAGATGAGAAGGAAGCAGAGAAGGCCAGAGGGAAAGCAGCAAGTGCTTTTAAGGAATAGAGCCAACAAGGAGAGACGACAGCCAGATGCTGCTGTACACTTACAACACTTAACTGAAGAGATCTACCAACAGAGCAGCTCAAAGACCTTAGAGTTTACTATACTGGCTTTAGAGTTTGGTTTTATAAGAGTTACTCTACTTCAACAGTTATAAATTCTCATCCAGTACAGCTAAAAACAAAACCCAACAACAAATGGGACGAGTAAAGTCTGGTGTCTGTGGATCAGTGGTTTATGAATGATGTTATGTTCATAACACTGCAGCATTGTTTCAGGAATCTAACATATTTATTCGTGTATAATACAATCTCATGTATAATATAATCTTATGTATAATACGACATCCCCCCGTTTTTGAGCTTAAAAAGCATAAAAAATTTTAATCCTAAACTACCTCCAATTTCATCCAGACTTCAAGATTTTTCAGCCTTTGCAGTCTTTATACATATCAGTAAAATGATCATTGGACTGTTCATTTTATTTTAACAACATATGTACTAAAAGGTATTTAGACAACAAATATATATCAGCTGTAGCAGCATCATATGAATTCTGGCATTTTACACATAGTCCACCAGGAGGCGCCAACACAAAAGTCAGAGACTTCACATGAGATTTGGACCATCATGTGGGGGAAAAGCAGATTACTTCCTACTCACGAGCGCCCCCTCTGGTGGGGAAACCTTTTTCAGGGATACAAACTTTTTCAGAACACCGGTAGACGGCAGCCATTACAGACAAACGCGTTTGTTGTTGTTCCAGGAGCGGCCCGGTCACACACTAATGTCACGAGTTTGTTATCATTACTGAGCTGCAGGAATACTCCCCCCACCCCCCCGCCCCAATTTTTTTCACATCATGTCGCCTGCTTGTATCTGTTATTATCTCGCTCTGAAGCACAGAGGAGTGTCAGAGGTGAGCTCGTTTCAACTGCTTTTTACGGCAACGCCTCATTTCCAGACTCAGCCATTTCGTGAATGAAGCCGATATTTTGGTTAAAATACATAAGTAAAAATATTTATCCAAGTATAGTACTACCCCCAAACTTTATGAATGATTTTATGGATTGAATTTTACGTATTATAATTGAATAAATACGGTAGGTGTTTCTGATGGATAAACTATGATTTTCTTGCACATACTGTACATGTCAACCTCTTCGGACGTTCACCTGTATAAAAGCCTCAAAAATCCTTAAATTTTGCTAAATATCCATACAACTCGCACCCGCGGGTGGGAAGGGGGGGTGCTGCCGGCCACAGAGATGACAAAACTTATTTCTAGCGGCAGAAAAGGCTGGAAGATGGCTATTTGATGTTATTCATTGTTTTTTAAATCATCCTACAGGCTCTGACAGGTTAGATAAATTAGAAAATTAGGTTTTGAAAAAATCCGGAAGACTGCTCTATACGTCCGTATACCTGCAAAATGACGTAAAATCCTTATAACTTAAGGACATTCCGTACAAGTTGACATGTATGCTTGCACTGTATGTAGTGATGTTCAATACTGCCAAATTTCTTTTCCGATACTGATACTAAGTAAAATGTGTCTGGTATCAGCGATACTGATCCAATACCGATATTTTGTGATGACACACATAATGTGTCTGGTAAATCTTAAAAATAGTGTTTTTCAAATAACCACTTTATAAATAATACACGACATAGTAATTTATTTAATTTAAAGTCTTTCTAACCCTAACCCYACATTTGTTTAGTACATTTTTAAATTATTATTCTAAAGAAATATAATAATGTTTGAATAGTGACTAAAAGTGAAAAAAAAATTCTAAAAGTTGTTACTTTGTATATTTTGTAGCATTGTTTCTGTTTGCAAGAAGGTCCCTGGCCAGAGATAATGCTGTTTGGGGGGCCACAGCATGAAAAAGTTTAGGAACCCCTCGACTAGAATGTAATTACAGACACTGAGACAAAGCMGATTTTATGTTAAAATGACCTGCCGTACATCTACAGACTGAGTGACTGACTGAACTCATGCTACTGTGCTTATGCATTACTCAAGTGGAAGAAAAAGTAGTTCCCTCCAAACACATATGATTAAGACAAGATTGGAATAGTTTAGTCATTTGCTACGATTTTCCTGTTAATGATATACATTATGTGAAATAACTAACGTATCATAGTATTGATATTTTGATTTTAGTATCGATTCTAGAACATAAAGTTCTGGTATCGGTAGTATCGATATTTCAGTATCGATCTGCACATCACTAACTGTATGGTAAATGTTTATTAGGAATAAAAAGTTGGTTACAGAAGTAAAAAATATATTATGATATTTGTAACAGTAGTGTWATTCATTCTACAAAACCTGATGCGCTAATAACAGTTAGCTTCTGCTAACCAAAGCACCATATACTGTACATCATGCATGAATCAAATTCTTTTCAAACAATTAAATTTAATTAGCATTAGTTCGGTGCTAAAATAAATGCTGAGAATATACATAATTTTGCATTCTGTTTGGCTTTCAGTTGGGCAGATCTCACATGGTTTCGTGGTTTTGGCTGTGCGCGGTACACTCCCCTGCACCCTGCTGTCAGCACCTGGTGCATCGGAGCAGAGCTCACGGGCCTGTTTGGACCAGAAGTCGACCATGAATGAGAGCTCATCTGCTGCAGCCGAGGAAAGCACATGGTCAAGTGGTCAACAAATGAAAATGGAAAATTGCTACCACTTGTTGGACACACTCAAGTACATGCAGGCGGTGGAGGTGGTCAGGTCATGATGGATGTCCCGTGTCCCTGTTGTTGTTGATATGATCAAAAAAATAACAGGGCCACCCCTG